AAGAAGAAGCTATGAATAAGGAGTGGTTAAAGAAATTCTAAACAAAAACAGACAACAGACAAATATGCTTAAGCACTTACATGTACATATGTAGGATTGTAGGTAATCATAAACAAACATACAAATGCACACACATGTCAGCTTGTAATGGACAGCATACACAAGATTGTAAGTTCATGGGTGTGGCTAAGAAGGAGTGAAGAGTGAGAACTATGCTAGCTGATAGTTTATTATCTAAAATAAAAGAAAAAATCTATTGCGGCTTTGCATGCATACTAGTATGTGTATATTAGTGTAGTTCTAAACTAATAAAAATTTCTTCGAAGTTTTGGAAATAGGATTTAATGGCACCTCTAAGCGATTAAAAAATGTTCGTCTTTTAATTTTAATAAAAATTTTTAGGCTCTGAAAAAACTAATAAAATATCATGAAAACATGAAATAACTGAAAAACTCAAAGTCATCAGTTAGTTATTGTAATATACAGACTAATCGAGTTCAACTGAGCTCCTGTTCAAATTATTGGCGTTCATCTTGGTGCTTTTTAAAAAAAATGGAGGTACTTACAAGTTTTTCTAAGCCGCCTCCGAAGGGCTGATGGATTCTTATGAAAAGTTTCAATTCAGAAATAAATTTGTGGGCCGAAATTATTTTGCTTAATTAAAACTCTGGGTTAGTCAGACAATATTTTTGGCTCATTTTAACTTTTCGACAAAGCTGGTTGGCGTTGTTACAATGTGACACAGCCTCTAAGCAATACCGGACGCTTTTTGAAGATTTTGTTATCAACCAGTGCATTGTTGACAGCAGAACTCAGAATCTATGGTTTCATCAAACTGAAGCGGCTCACAGTAGACAACTCATTTCTCCGGAGTTGAACGGCTTTTGACTATATATGTGGGGATTAAAAAAAGTTCGTTTAAATGGTGACTTTCAATATGATTTTGTTAAATCTAAAAATACCAAATCCTATACATTTACTTTTTTAGTCATCCCTTGAAATCTTAGAACGATCGGCTAAAGGGGAGATAAGAAAACGCTGAGGATAGGTCACACGAAATTCCACCAGTAACGCAAACAGAAATTCGCCATTCGATTCTCTTCTGGTTTCGGCGTTATTTACAGATAAAACAAATATTCAGTGAATGCCGTTTTTCCACCGTTTTTAAAGACTGTTTCTAACCTGCTCGATGGGTACCACGAATTTTAAATGAGGCCCAAAAAGAGGCATTTTTCCAAATTTCCTAAACAAATTCGAAAATGGTCAGTCTAGTAAATTTAGTATATTCGTTACTGATGACAAATCTTGGTTCTATAAGGACGGATCAGAAGCCAAAAAGCAGTCCGTGGTATGGAGCCTAACAGGAGAAAACCCTCCTTTAAAATCTAAGCAACAAAACTCAGCAGCAATAGTAATGAAGTCAGTTTACTTCACCTTTACCCAAAATTTTAAACTATTTTTGGGAAAACAGGAAGAAAGAGGGTTTGCGGCGTTCCTCTTTAATTTGCTGAAATAAGAAGTAATTTTATTGCGATCTCTGGGATCAAAGAAATACGTTCAGCATCATTTTCTCCGGATTTCTAAAGACAACTACCGTGATCAGTCTCTTCAGATATGGTTTAGTGATTGAGATATGTAAACGAAGTTAATTCGAAGCATCAAGGTTTTTTATGAGTTCTTGTGACACCCGTTGTATTTTGACAGTATATATATATCGGTCTTGTTTCACCAGCAGCAGTATTTCATCAGCTGTTTGTGTGACCAGCCGACCAGAAAAATGTACGGCTTTGACATAAATAAAAATTTCTGGATCGGAATAGAGCAAACTACTCTTGAGTCCGTCGTTTTTCCAATTTTTTTTAGTAAAAAGAATCACTTGCCACAAAGAGCTTCTTCGAAAATAATTTTAACTAATGACGTTTTACAAAACTGTACTCACGAAAATTATTTCTGAAAACATGAGCTTGCATGCTAAATGTATACGGATAAGATTGTCACATCATCTAGTGAGCAAAAACTGCGGAAACTTTTCTATACAAAGTTTTGGATACTGATCAGAGTTGAGAGTGGCTATTTTGAGTAACAGTCGATTTCCGTTGCTCGCAATCTATCACCAAAATATTGTGCTTCAGAAAAGCTGGCAGTAGGGCTGCGAGCATCTTTCAGAAATGTTGTAGCAGTTGCAATTATGACGAGAACGAAACTATTATCCAACGTCACGCTGCATTAAGTGCGAGTAGATTTTGGTATACCAACATAATACTGGGTTTACTTTTTCGATGTACCAACTTCGGCAATCACTTATATGTACAAACCTTTACCTAACACTAACTTTAGTTTAATATTGATTATATAGGCTTTCCTGATGAAACAATGTTTTTCGGTTTGATTCAGACTTTGTTGAAAGAATCTGGTGTAAAAATTTTAAAAATTTAGGAATTGTCCAATCGAAATATAATTTTATTTTTAAATGAATTGTAGAACTACATATTCATCCCACCCATTTCTAAAAACGATATTTTAACTTTTTCTCGTTAGATTTTACATTATTTGTGAATTATTATTATTTTTATGTTCCCTTCGCTTTCATTGGCGTAGTCTCCTCTAATGCGGCTATATCGAACCAGGGGTTTCTCTTTTTCATCATTCCATTCTATAAGCGGGTACTGCACCAAATACTTTCAAAGATGCATACAGCACGAACTAGTTAGCATAGCTACTTTAACTGAGCAGATTGAGCTCAGCTCAAGGCGTTCTATATTTCGTACTGCTCATTGTTCCATCGTCCGCAACATTCACAGGCGCTAGTACACCAAGTTGCATATATCGTACACTAAATAGTTCTCTTGAAAACTCCTAGCGCCGACACATCAAGACAAGAGATATTTCACCTAGTCTTCAATCACTAAAGGTTCCATTCAGTTTTGTGTTTTAATAACTCAATATTCATCCATTCGGGATTATATTGATACATATATGCATATATGAGACTGTTATTCGTTTAGAAGAACTCAAACCTTACAAATTTTAAGAAATATGAATGGAATACAATTACGATCCATCTAATTTTGTTTGTCCGAAGCCCAGAAGATGTTCTGTCTATATCATAGACAGCATTAAAGGGAATGAATGAACCACAAGTGATAAAAAAGAGTTCAGGTCGATTTTGTGTCACAATGACAGCAAATTTCCAAACGCTGTTTCGAGAAAAAATCGCGTTTGAAGAAGAATTTGCACCTAAAATTATATAAATTGGCGCTTTTCGGCCGAGCACCTTCCACAATTTGTCTATTTGAGACGGACAAGTTAAAATACATTTTCCGATTGTTCGCAGATAATACAAGTGTTAGTGTAGACATGATTTTACGGTATTTCCAATGGCTGATTAATAAAGGATTCTCAAGTGAATTAGGGATAAATGATTTGATGTTTATTTCAATGTAAAAAGGAAGATAAAATTTACCAACACCAAATCACAAAGTGGCTGCTGTATGCGCTCGTGAAATGCCTTCACGAATTCCATCTTTAAGGTCTTTAAACAACGTTGTTCTGTTATTGTATACCCTATTTGTTACGTGGTCCAAAGGAAGAAGTCGCGAGGTGTTAAATTACAAGATCTCGCAGGCCAATTGCACTCGTCTCTACGAGAGTAAACACGGTCCGGAAACTTTTCCCTTAAAAGCTCGATGGTTTCCTTGCTTGTGTGGCACGTGGCGCAGACTTATTGAAAGTGAACACTGTTCTGATCAATACCATCATATTATATTTTATATAAATTAATGAATTTACTATAACTGTTGCTCTAGCCTCATTATTGAAAGTGTAAGGTTCCATGATCATGCCAGACCATAAACCGCACCAACCAGTTAACCGTTGAGGATGGGCAGGCTTTTCAACAATAAATGTATACGTTGCGAACCCCGGATGCGATAGCTTTGCTTATTGTTGTAGCCAGCAAGGAAGAAATGGGCTTCTTCAGTCAAGATGATTTTTCTTTAAAATTCCAGATCAATATCAAACTTATACTCAATCGTTTTCGTATCGATTGTACTTTATAAGCCTTAAGACCCAAGTTCTTATGTAAAATACGGTGTAAATACATTTGTGAAGGGCCCAGTTCGCAACAACGACGAAGAATGGCCAAACATTGTTCTTGACGCGCACGTTTAGGTCCAACAGGTTAATTTTTTCCATTTTTCCCCAGTTTCTATATTGCGATCCGACGAAGTGCTTAACGGCGACCGAAAAATATTTTAGTTTCATCGAACTGTCTCTGCCAGGTGTTCACCATTTTTTTTGAAAAGTGGTATCTACCGGAATAGCAGTCACTCCTTAATGGAAAGCTTTTTATAAATCACGGTCTACATTTATTTAAGGAACGACTGAAAGGTCTTAGTATTTTTGAAAGCAGAAAGCTCTCAACGTTTTCTTGACCACAAAATCAAAATAAAGTCAGCTCATTCTAGCGGTTGTGCTGTGTGGACAGGATAAATAACGTCTTTCAGCTTACATTTGCGGAAACTACATAAAGTAACTGAGATAGTTGTAGAAATGTGTCTAAAAACCGATTCAGAGAAGCTTTTGATTTTTGCTGTTAGGAAATGAGTATTTTTCACAAATTAAGACCTACCCTAATGTGTGTGTGTGTGTTAGTTTAGTTTTCACTATGTTTTCAGTATGCCTGTGTGCCGCTGTCAGTAGAACAAATTGAGACGCAGCATGAATGCTGAGAAAAGTTTCGAGTGGTTTTCCTGTCGAGCACTTGTTACTCTTATAGCTCGCCACTGTTTCCTTTTTGTGTTTAATTTTCAATTGCACATATCCTTTTGCCTGGCTACTTGTGTCTGTATTTTTTATATTTGTTTATGTTATGCTGTGTACCGCTGCTTTGTTGCTTTGTTTTTTGTTTTGTATGTTTTTGAGTGCACTAAAATTGCATGTTAACTAACTCTTGTTCTTCGTCTTCTTCTACTACATTTTTCCATTTGTTTTAATTGCAGATTGAATGAGGAGCAAAGGAAGCTGAACAACGCACAACTCAAACACTGATAGCGGAAACAAGTGCAGCAAATTTCTGTGGCAGTTTTTCTCGGTTAGAAAAGTCGAAAGAAAAAGACACAAACAAGAAAAACAATCTTTGGCCCACAAGCTAGAGAGTACGCCGCAGGCTTTACATTTGGTTGGGACGCACTGATAGATGGCAAGGGCATGTGGGTATACCATGGCGGCATAAATAAAGTGGAGAACGGGGAAACAGTAGCAAATCTAGTAAAAAAAGGGGACATTGCGAAGTGGTTGGGAACTAACTAGAACAAAGGTAGATTAACTTTAAAAGCCGGAGAGAAGGAGAGAAAAAAGTAAGCGAGTGTACGCTAAGTGCAGTTTTGTGAACATTTTTCTGCTAAACTAAAAAAAGGGCAACAACAACAACAATATTAAACATATGTAAAAAACGATGTAGTGTATGCCAGCTGCCAAGCAAAGTGAAATACGTGAGTCTGATCAACAGCTGGTTGCAGTGTCGTATTGAACAGAGACGAGGAGTGAGAAACGCGACAAGCGTGAGCGCTCGTTTGTGCTTCAACTCTTCCACATACCACCCGATTTAGTATGTAGCAGCAAATTTGACAGTTACAACATTGTTGCAATAGAAAACGAGAAGCGGCGAGCGTGCGTGACCGAAAAAAAGCAAACACTGCCAAGGTGCAAGAAGACCAAAAGCGAGTTGAGAATAGAAATTTTAAAACAAAAATAAATACGAAATAACAGCAACAACAGTTAGATGCAATTGCACAGAGAAAGAGTTAAGAGCCCAACCTGATTACCGAACGTCAAAAGTCGTAAAGCCAAAAGCTCAAAGGATAACCGTGAAAGCGCAAACATCAAGCCTGCTAAGCATTGCAGCAGTCGTGTATATGTAACTGGCACACACGCACGATAAACGACGCTGAAGGGCAAACCATTAGAGCGCACAAGCGCGCCAATCGAGGCAGTCAGTCAACCAACTGTGTGACGTATTAAAGGGTGATTTCGCGCTTTACCCACAAAAACATAGCTGCATTTAGTCGGTGTGTGAAGTGTTGTGTATGTGTATGTGCTTATACTTGACCTGCTGGAACCGGTCACAGCTGAACTGAACTGAATTGAACTGAATTGAGCTGTACTGAACTGAGCTGAATCGAGTTTTGTAGTGACGTCATTCAATTTACTCACGCAAGTATTGCAAACTCCAGAGGGCTAAACATTGGCGGCCTAGTTTCACAGCATACCCAGCAGTTTGCAAGCAGTTGTATAGGTTAGTCGGTCGGTCGGTCGGTCGTTTGGTCGGTTTTCGTAACGTTCTGAGCTGCGACGCATCAGCACACTCGGTCGGACCATTACATATATTACGCCATAACTTCCATGCCAAAAACAGCGAGTTAGTGCGTGTGTGCGCATTTTTTTTTAATACCAAAGCACTAAGTCTTTTGAGCAGTTATTCGGGTGAGTCGAGCTCCGCCAGCCATTCCGTAGTCAATCAGCTGAGTTTATTATTAAACAGTACATACAGCTCAGCCAATTAGTCAGCGAGTGTTTGCTAAATAAAACCTTTGCTGCGCTTTATTACAACAAATATCCCAACCTACTCCTACCAACTAACCACCGTATCACCTACCACCCACTTCGACGAGCACACTCAATCTTATTAAGTATGGCTCGTACATTAGCTTTGCAGGCACCCTCGTCGTTGTCAGCGTCGTCGCGACAACATAGCTTCGCGTCATCAACATCAACGCTCAGACTGAGCAGTGGTGACATCGGTCGTGGTCTATTCGCCATAGTTATACTACTATTGCGTATGTCCTCCGTTTATGGCGTTATCGACCGTTTGGTGGTGCAGACATCAAGCGGTCCGGTGCGTGGTCGCTCCGTTACCGTACAGGGTCGCGAAGTGCACGTGTATACGGGCATACCATATGCCAAGCCACCGTTGGATGATTTACGATTTCGCAAACCGGTGCCAGCGGAACCATGGCACGGTGTGCTGGATGCAACTCGACTGCCGGCAACTTGTGTGCAAGAAAGGTGAGTGCAAAAACAGAAAGCGCGAGTATCTATACTCGCAACGGTATGAACGAGTACATACCTATTTGTATAGCAAGAAAATTTTACACAATCATGAGAGTTTGGTGAATGCCAAGGGAAACTCTGTAGTTACATTACTTAAATAGTGGCTTGCGTGGTGCGGCAAGCGAGTTGGAGAAGTGCCGAGGTGAGCACATTCTGAGGTTGAATGATTCCGATAAGCAAACCGAGCTAGTGCTTATATAAATAAATGTGTGCATTCATTAATATAGCGTATGTGCGGGGTGTGTTATGTACTCGTAACAACAAAACATGACCAGAAAGTTATGGCGTGACGTTATTAATGACGAGAGCTGCTGATGTTGTTAATAGCAAACTCTGCTACACACCTACAGTCATATAAGATACGTTTGTATATATTATATATGTAAATCTTGTACATATAGTCATGCTCCTTGTGTTGACTCTCCTGCTGATGAATGTTCAATTAATTTGTAATTGGTTGTTTGCCGTTTTCCATCTTACTTACCTATGTACGTTGCGGGAGCTAAGATACACTCAATATTGCAAATTAATATTCATTTATAAAAGCAGCACCATGCACAAGCCAAGCATTTGAAGCATTGTTTACTTGAACTAAATAAATATAAAGAAAAACCCCAATTACTATTATTAGTGTACTTAATATCATACGCCAGGAATTAAAAAAAAAGTAGCCAAGAGCAAGGGCCTCAGCGTCAACTAGATATTTGCTACAATGAAAGGAGTATTCAATCTAACGTACATACCCAAAATAAGGAGGGAAACGAATTTTGTTTTCATTCCTAAATGTGGAGAGACGTCCCACATTAAACCGAAGGATTTCAAACCCATAAGTCTTATATTCTTTCTACTTAAGACAGCGGATCCCAACCTGTCGATAAACCGACATGCCTATATGAAAGTCAGGTGAACGGTGGTGTCACAAATAGAAAGATCTGTCTCTGTTAAAGAATGTAGCCTGGATATTGAGGGGGCTTTCAATAATTTAGCACCAACTTTAACTTCTGCCTTGACTTGTCTGAGCGTCCATCCTCGAGTGACTTATTTTTTAAGCCAAATGCTCAGATGCAGACTAGTAGAATATGAGATTGGTGGGGTGTTGGCACTTAGGTATGAGTTTTGGCAGTGAACCAAATGCTAAGATACATGGAGGAGGAATGAAGCTACAGATTAATAGCGTATGCGGACGATCTGGTGGTTATAGAGAATGGCAAATTTCCACAAAATTTTAGTGATATTATGCAAAACTTAACTCGTTCTTTTCACCAGGAATCACCAACTCTCACAGGAACGGACCTGCTCACTGCTGAGTCTGCAAAATACATGGGTTCATCCTAGACAGTAAATTGAGCTGGTCACAAAACTCAGAGGAAATGGGGTATGTCACTCAAAATAGTGCGTTGGCTCTATGTCGCAGTTGTTAGAACTATACTTCTCTATGAGGTTGTAGTCTGGTGGCCAGCATTTGAGAAAAAATCTATTATCTACAATATAGTGGCATTTCTGTGCTCTTGGATTTACTCCCCTTTGACATAGTGGGAATACTTGATTATCCCATAGAGAAACCTTTGGAACAGGATAATATCAGCAAGAGTTGGCTCGATTCAATTTCATACGGCTGGGTCGAAACTTGATAACAGGGCTGGTGGAGGAGTCTACCCAAAGGATCTTGGTGTTTTTAAATCGCTTCACTTACCGGATTACTATAGTGTTTTTCAAGCGAAATGGTGGCTATACATGAGACTCTCAAGTGTCTCAGCTCAAGGATACTCTCAATACATCGCTTAACGCGATGGCCAAACAGTGCCTTCTGAACCTGGTATGGGTACCTGGACATAGCAACATACCAGATTTTTTTGGGGGAATATGCACCATCCTAATTTGTTGATAGGTCCATTGATTTGGCCTCCTCTGCCTCTGGGAGGGTAAAGACTGTAGCGTCAATATCCCTCCCTTCGGTGTTGGAGTCCTCCATTGCTCCCAGCGTGGAAAATGTTCCAATATTTTCAGATATTGAAAGCTTTTTTTCTTACAGCCTCCGAGCTGGATTCTAGATTTCCTGTTCTCGTTAGTTTGCACTGTTCCATTACCCCGATTCGCTCAGGGCGATATTCGGGTAAGTGAAAGAAACCTCCTCGGAGACTGTTATGTGGGTAAATCCCCTGGTGATGATTCTCTTCTTATTTGCTTGGAGTCTTATCCTTCGTGGGGATCTTTAATATGATGAAGTTAAAGCCGTTTTTTATCAAATCTCACACAAAGACGTGCCTCGCGGAACTCAACTGGTGTTCTTGCCTTACCTTCCAGGTTCATATGCTTTCTTCCAAGCAATATCGCTCTCTTTGTCTCTTCGAAAATAAATAAACAGCGATTACAAGAGGCTTTAATTTTCTATTTTAATTTGAACGAAAGTGCTGCCGAAACCCATTCAATACTTGTGAAAGTTTAAGGTCAATCTGGACAGACCAAAAATTCATACGAAGAGTAATTTCGATGTTTTAAAGCGGGCATTTTAATTGACGAAAACAAAGTGCATTCTGGTTATGCCAATCGGATGTGGTTTACTAACAGTTGTTAAAACCTGGCGAAAACATTAATACGAAACGCTATCGTCAACAACCAATGCGATTGAGCTGCGCATTGCGTGGAAAATGGCAAATGGTAAAGACCGAAAGCCATGACTGTCGTTCTAAAGGCCAGGTTCGAGTCCTGGCTTGACCAAGAATAAAAAGTATAGAAAATTAATTTTTCAAAGTGTAGTCACCCCTCGGCAGGGAATGTCAAGCCATCCATGTATTTTTATGACTCAAAAAAGAAAAGCTCCTCATTAAAGTCAATCGACCATTCGGAGGGGCCTAGAATAAACTGTAGATCCTTCAATTTGTTGAAAAAATATCAGACACCTACCACAAATTTGAGTAGTACCTTGGCCTGAAATCGCTTTAGGGGATTACAAAGCGGCAAAACTTTCTTGTCTAGAAAATCCTCTTGAATGAAGTTAACTTATTTGTTAGTAATAAAGAAAATAGTCTCCGTGCAATATTAGTGTTGTAGGAACTATTCTTGTTGTTTTTTATGCGAGTGGGGCATGCAGAAAAACAGGCATTAGAAAGTAAAAAAGGGCTAAAGATATGTTTTTCTCAAAAGTACTTAGTGTCAAGAGATATATTTTTCTTTCTTCTACCAACACTTCACATAAAGTTAGAATTAATGAAAGCTTATGTGAAATCTAGAAACAGGTATAATGCAGGATTTTTAGATATCATACAAAAATCTAGTTCAGTTCATTTAAACTTTTATTTTTTCACAAATTGTAGCAAACTGTCAAGAGCCCTTTGAAAATAAAAGTTTAAATGAACTGAACTAGACTAGGTTTTTATATGATATCTATTTATTTTTTAATTTAATTTTTTTTTTAATTTTTTTTTTTTATATTCCATCATAATAGATGTTAGCTCAATATACGCTCTCCTTTCTCGCCTTTTATAATATTTTTTTTTAACCATACTTAAGTCGACAGCTTCTCAATCAATTCTAGGAAACGTAATATTTATTTGCCATGTCAATATCAAATCGTGACATTTAAAATTTAATTAAGATTTCACACCGACATTTCACTTGAGGCGTTTATTAAATTTCAAATTATCTGACACCATTGTATTATCTACACCTCACGCAATGCGTTATATTCATCTAGAAATAATTATTTAATTAAAGTATGTTTGTAATGTGTGTGGGCGGTGATGAGCAGGCACAAAGGTTAATCATACGCCCCCGGTACACAAACGGTATATTGGAGAAATGAGTAAAATCATTCTCATATTCAAATATTTCATACTAGTCATGATACAAAAATTCTATGAGATATTTTCAATTCGAAATTTTTGGCACTAAGCGTGTTTGCTCAGAATTGTTTGAACGCGCCACTTATAAAATATTCAACTTGGAGGTTTTTTTATTACTTTTGGGGATATCTTCTAAGTGTATGGATGTATTAAAATATTTGCTTTAAGCCGTCTTTCTTAGGGGAAAGAAAAGACATTTTTAGAAACTTTTCATTATAAATAAATTGGAAAGAGTTGACAAATTTTTTTTTTTTTTCAGAAACTTGTGTTCTTAAATTTTTTTCGACTGGTCTGACATGCCAGGGAACAGTGATGCCGATGAGAATAGTTATATCCTTGGTAAGCTTTGTACATTACGTGGGCATACCTCTTATTCGCCAACGTATTTGTTAAGATTAGCTTTCACGAGAACTTCCAACAGCTGGTGACGGTGTGACACTGCGCAGTGGTCCAAGTCAGTGCCCTTGAATCATAGGCCGTACAATGTTTGTCATGGTCGTTAAAAAAGCTGTGGTCTCTGTCCCGAGGAAATGCTAAACTTTTTATTGAAGTTAGTTTTTACCCGCCGGCTCACACTCACACCTCTCGTCTACAGATGCTGCAGGAAATAAACCCCAAAGCTTCTTGTTTTTTAGCCATGTACCAAGGCTGCCCAGCTTTTGCGACGTGGACGCAAGAGTAGGTAGGGCGAATATGCACCACATTACATCCCCATGTATATAGTTAATAAATGCTTTTTTGGGACGATCATGTGGTCGAATTCACTACTTTATATTTAACAGTCTTATAAGTTACCAAAGAAAACATTGCTGATATTATTGTAGTCGAATGTATCCTCGATTGTGTTTTTAGAATAGGCTTTAAAGTTCAGGAAAGATTCAGCTGCAATAAAGTTATTTAGCGCGAAAGTGACCAAAGGCAGAGACTAACCAAAGGTGCTACTGCGGGTTAAGAGCTGAACAATTTTACGCGATAGTCGGATCTTTATAACGGTATGCTCCGAGTTTTTATCTGATCCAGGACTGTCACTCCCGAAATATTCGCTGAAAATCACCAATTATTCGCTTGAGCATCAGCGTCATCCTACTCGTTTTTTAATATTTCCATTTTCAATTTTCAATTTTGTTTGCTAAATTTTCTTTAGTATTTCAATGCGTTTGTTACTTTTTAAATCGTAGAAAAAGCTCTGAGAAAAAAGTAAAAGTTTTGTTTGTATGGAAAGCCCTGAGTAGTCATAAATATAAATTTAACTGCTTACTTAAGTTTAAGTTCTGCATTGACTGTACTAAGTCCATAGGTGTATCATGACCTCTGCTGCCCTTTCTGCTTAAACCATGATGACTAAGGTGATGTGAGTTTTCCATTTGGCAAACGTTTAATGGATGCTTTTCCAGCAAATTGAAAAAAGCTTTTAATTTCCAATAAGCGAAATAGTTATACAACACATAGCTTTTGTACTTGCATACATACGTATACATACATATTATATAACTAAATTAATGTATTCCCTTTTCGTGCGTTCACCTACAGATATGAATATTTTCCTGGTTTCTCAGGCGAAGAGATATGGAATCCAAATACAAACGTTTCAGAGGATTGCTTGTACATTAATGTTTGGGCACCAGCGAAAGCGCGTTTAAGGCATGGACGCGGCGCTAATGGCGGTGAGGTGAGTAGCTACAAAAAGGCTAAAGTATCTAATGTCTGCATTCAAACATACAAACGCAAATACACCCAAAATTCTATACTCGTACAAAGCAACTCATTCATTGCTCTTACTCTCATATTTTCTTTCGTCTTCTAATATTCCCTACAGCACTCCAATAAAGCCGACACCGATCATTTGATACATAACGGAAATCCGCAAAACACCACAAACGGCTTACCCGTGCTTATTTGGATTTATGGTGGTGGCTTTATGACCGGCACTGCCACATTGGACATTTACAATGCGGACATTATGTCCGCTGTGGGTAATGTAATAGTGGCTTCATTTCAATATCGTGTTGGCGCATTTGGCTTCCTACATTTATCGCCCGCCATGCCTGGCTATGAGGAGGAGGCACCCGGTAATGTTGGCTTGTGGGATCAAGCATTGGCCATACGTTGGTTGAAAACGAATGCACATGCCTTTGGCGGTAATCCGGAGTGGATGACACTGTTTGGTGAATCGGCTGGTTCGAGTTCGGTGAATGCGCAGTTGGTGTCGCCAGTGACGGCGGGTCTGGTGAAGCGTGGTATGATGCAATCGGGCACAATGAATGCGCCATGGAGTCATATGACGTCAGAGAAGGCAGTAGAAATCGGCAAAGCCTTAATCAATGATTGCAATTGCAATGCGTCACTGTTGGCGGTAAGTGGGTGTGCATATTTTGCAAAAAATTTAAATTGAATTCAGCTTTTTTTTGGAACAACTAGCTTTTATACGTTTTGGAGATGTGTTGTGTTCATGTGTATTTGAATACAAAAACAAGAATTGGTCAGATTTTAATGAAATGACTCACAAAGGATTTTTCTGTGCAGGAAATGAGAAAATGGGGATTGTTACTTATTCGAGTTTGAGTCATTGGTATTCTGAAACGTTCCGTTCAGTAGACTTGTACGAAGTTTCAGCTAAATTCTGTTCCATTATTATATCTTAAATGCATTCAGAGAGCCCTCTTGGAGTTCGGGGAGTCAACTCCACAGTAAAGAAATTGAGGTGGTGCGTGAAGTCTACTCCTCCTTTTATCTTATCAATTTGCTAGGTGGAGCACCTATTGAAGATGCGGGGTATTACAAGAGGAACTATTAAGTCTAATAACTCTTGAAAAAGTGTTAGTGTGACGGAGAAAGCTTCGTGGAATTCTTATCACCAGCATTCCTTGTGATGGCAAATATCTAAGCCTGGCATAGTATTGAATTCAAAAAAAAAAAAAAAAAAAAAAAAAAAATGGATGGGAACTTTCTAACTTATGTACGTAATTCCCCCAAGAAGTTGTTAAAAATTTCACAACTATTCTTGTCTAGTGATTTTCCGGAAGTTTTTTATTTTTTTTATTAACTCGGTTTTCTCGCTTTTTTTTTAAGGGAAAGAAAATTCAGAATTCATTCGAAAGAGAATTCAAGGCCTAAATTTAAGTTGGATTGCTCTCATGGAATTTGGACTTTACCATTCACCACAGGAAAAATTCTATCAGTGTGATATCCCACGATCCTGGTAGACGATCGGCCAGTCGAAAAACGAAAACGTGAAATGTTCTCTCAATAAACTCATTGATCGATGTGTGTGAAGTGGCGATTGTTGAAGCCAAATTTTGCCGAGATCACGAGCTTCTATTTCAGGCATCAATTAGTCGTTTATCCTGCCGCGATAACGATCGCCATGACGGTTACGTACTCATATCTTAACAAAATTTGGCTCGAGAAGGTCGAACCTTCTTAGAACTTCTCAAGTGTGCATAGAACAAGGCGATTTCACATGGAAAGATCGAGCGACCTCAATTCTCGCATAAACTATATTTTGTATACTTTTAATGAAAGATCTCGAAGTAAAATGCGCCAAGAAGATCCATATGTTCGTGCAAGTTGATGCGAACGGCGCCAAATCGTTTTCGTGTACATACTGAGCTACGGCCGCTATCTGAGCCGTTTGATACCAAGCGACGTTTTAGACATTGTGATTCCGTGTGATTTCTTCAGTTTAATGCAGGAGAAATAATGAGAGCTGCAGAGCTAAATTGAGGAGATACAGTCTTGATATGACAATATTGGCCTCAACAACCGCGCCCTGAGTTCTGCCTCCCCCAGTCTTGACAAAGCAACGAAGTGAATAGGTCTGCCAGTGAACGAGGAGAAGTATTTCCTGTCATCAAACCAACAATATTCAAATGTTTCTTCTTTGCTTACGTCGAAAGGAAATTCTCTTATATTGAATGACATTATGTAAAAGAACACAAATAAATCTTTGTTATCCGTGCGAAAGGAAAAATATTTGTTTGCAGTTGAGAAAATTATAACAAATCTTGCCATCTTGACCGATAGAAAATTACTTTCGCACCGGACTCCTGCAAGTTTTTTTTTCCATAAATCTAGAGATCTGCAAATACTTAAGCCAGTTTGGGATCACTTATAAAATCGTTTCATTTTACTTGGAGTATAAGGTTTCAGCTTTCTGTTTAAAAAGACTTAAGAAATGGAATAAGTACGTCTTCCAGTCGTTTGTTAGTCTGGATTATTCGTTAATAATTAACACAATGCAAACCAACATTGAAGAAATAATAACATTCCTCAATCAGATTTTTTTTTAACTCCCTATTTAATAGACACTTCCTCACATGGCTTCTTTTAAGGTTGATCCACCATCTCTAGTGTTCATGGTTGAGGTATCAACGGCTTGTTTTGCCCACAAATTGAAGATTTAATTACAGAAAAGTATTTTTATAAAATCCCCTAAAGATTTCTCCACAAACGTAATGACACACATTTCGATCACTGAAACAATTTCCCCGGGACGAAGACCTGATAATCAATCTCTATTTAGTTATAAAAAGACACTAATAGCATATTTCCACCGTACGTTAAATGCATTTAAATATTGCATTTCAATGCGTGATTTCCCATGTGTTTGTTGTTGTGAATTTTAGTGAATTAACTCATTTTCGGTATTTTAGCAGAAAATGTTATGTTAACAGTCGTTGCAGTCACTACTAATGTAATCATTTCGGAAGTTTCGGCATATTTTTTGCCAGAGTCGTGTATTTTCGGGTTTTATGAGGGGAGAAACTTTTATTTTTCATGGTGAAATTTTTTCAGCTGATTTCACTAAACAAATAATTTGAGAGTATTTGTTCCCAATGTGAAAATAGAAACATGCATAAAAGCATTTCGTTTCAATAGCGAAGGCCCGTGTAGAAAAAATGTGCACTTGCAAATCATAAGATTGCATAAATAGCCAAATAAAATTAATGCGGTTCCTTGAATTTATGATTTCAAAAGTTGTGACAAATATTGCAAACTGCTTGACATTTCATTCTCTTAACAGAGACATTAAATGCATTTAAATGCTCGGTGGAAATAGGCTATAGGACTTAAAATTGTGCTCTTAAATGTGCTAACTACAGCAAGTTTGAAAAACATATGGTAGCTACAAAACTTCACATTAGAAAAAAAGTAAAAAATATTTTTCTTATTGCCAATGCATATTTAATACAAAACCCAAAATAATTTTTTTTAGTTGTGTTGGGGTGGAATTCACAAAGTTATTTAGTCTTTTATTTGTATCATTATTTTACAATAATATTGAAAATAATATTTAGGGTACCTGACTTTTATGAGCGCCAATTTTAAAATCAATACGATATTGATTTGCTTCAGTTTTGATCATCAGGGCCTTGGTTTAAGTATTTTTTTACACTAAATTTTTTTTTTTATACTTAAAAACGTATTTTGGTTTGTTTTCACTTACCTTTTTCCCTTTCCATTTTCAGGAAAATCCTCAAGCTGTAATGGCTTGCATGCGTGCCGTCGATGCTAAAACGATCTCAGTGCAACAATGGAACTCTTATTCGGGCATTTTAAGTTTTCCATCGGCGCCGACTATAGATGGCGCATTTTTGCCTGACGACCCCATGAAAATGATGGAAACAGCTGATATGCGTGGCTATGACATCTTGATGGGCAATGTGAGAGATGAAGGTGAGTACTTCCTGTGATGAAATATAAAATTTATAATTTTTTGAACAAAGTTAAGGAATGAGACAAAATTTGTGCTCAATGAGAAGTGTCAGTAAAAATTAGTCAGTAAAAATTAGTCAGTAAAAATTAGTCAGTAAAAATTAGTCACTAAACAAATTGAGAAAGTATAACGTCTTGCTCTTTTAAAAAAGAAACTAAATACTGTTTCACACAAAAATAAAAAAATAAATAAAAATTGTGTTACATTACATAATCTTTAATAATATGGAAAATATACAGCGTAAAAGCGAACTACCTTTTAATCCAAAATAAGTTTCCAACATTAACGAAAAAAATGCACCTAATAAAGTCATCAACTTCTGGCTCACATTTCCGCGCCATAAGCGCGCGCTCAGCACACAAAAATAATCACAATGAAGTTGGTGTTGTTGAAAATTGTTGTCGCTACCACTAAGTGGACTCACAAACTCTCTGGCACATAAACATTTTTATATAACAAAGAAATGTGTGTGAACAAATATAGAAGCGTGCAAACGCCTTTCTAAAGTGGCAACAGTCAACCATCTGCCGCATGCACTTCATACTTCTGCATCTTTCCACTACAGCACGACGCGACACAGTTGCCAATTGCAACTGTGCTAAGTTGCAACAAACAATACAAATTTTTCTTCTTTTTTTTTTGTTGATGTCCCATTTTCCAAAATTACTTTGCCTCGGCGTTTCATTGGCAACGAAATGATGTTACAAAGGGTGTGTAGCGTGTATGTATGTAGGCGACAAAGTGAGACTGGCTGTAAAGTAGTGAAGAAAAGTAGGATGCTCTGTAACGAGTTTTACTCTGACGTCAGAGTTGAACCAGAAAAATGCGGCTCACTGTTTTTCAGCTGGTGATTGTAGGCACTTAAAGCTGAAAGCGAAAATAGTCGCAAAAGAGTTGAGAGGACGACGAAGTAAGCAAAGATTAAGTTCGTATGTGACCAAGAGAAATTGGACTTTGATAAAGTAAAACTAGCAGAACAATTTCTTTGCTGTTTTTACCGTGAGCACTACTTAAGCGATTAGAGTCGAATCCACAATAATAGCTTTACACCTGATCTTTCCAAGGGAGTGGAGGTCACCTTCCTCGCTTTCCTTCATTCAAACGGCATGACCTAGCCAGAGAAGCCGCTGTCTCATCATTTGCTGAACTATATCTATGTACAATATAACTCGTACAGCTCAACGGCCTATCGTCACTCATCGAAGTTATGACTGTCAACAGTGACATAGGAACCAACACCAGTTTAAACGAGAACATTTTCTATAAGCGAAGATCTTCAGAAAAACTATATTTTGATTGTAGTAACGACACAATTGATCCCGTACTAAAGACTACAACAGCTGACCTTGCCTTTGACCGATTCATGACTTGAAAGATGAAATTGTCGTCGCTAAAAGCCGCCATATGAATTAGGTGGAAAAAGCATTGCAAATGTTCAACCGTCAGTTTTTTAAGAATTTTAGAATGCATATTTTCCGTGGCTCAGGAGGTGCCTAAAATTAATACCAAGTTGCCTTTGAAATGTTGAAAGCTTTTTTGCAGGAACTATTATTTCATGCCAAAACTGCAGCCGGAGTGTTTGAGACTCCCAGCCGAGGGCAGATAGTAGTTAACATAAATAGTAAATTAGAGTACCAAAAATTGTTTGATATTGGTCTGGTCTGTACTCCAACCAATATCTTTTGGAAAGGGAATTACACACTGATGCACGTACAATCATACTTCATTTAAAAAAATAATATTCCCTGTAGAACAGACTTAAAATACCAGTTTAGATAGTAGAACAAAATTGCTGAAGCAAATTCAGGAAAAACGGGTGAAGCAAACAAAATGTAAAATTGTCCATAAAATATTTTTACTGCTGATGGCAGTTCTGCCATGCTGGTCGACAAACTAACAATCCAGCCATATCATTGATATATTGCTAACAGTGTACACTATGGCATAATCGTACCTATGTACATTGTATGTCTGTATACCCCACAGACTGTAGCAGTGTTACAACCCACAGGCCTTTCATTTTGTTACAATCGAATAGAGCAGCGTATATTTTTTAAACTTAAATGCAATATTTTCGTATTTTATGTTCTGGGACCATAATAAAATTACAATGTGAATGTATAGTTTAAAGATAGAGTAATGCTTCCAAAACAACAACAATAAAAATTTGTTTTTACTGAACATATTAGGTGTAGTAAAAAGGAATCCATTATTTTTCCAATAGATGTATCAAAGGTGGACACTAGCAAAGAGAAAAGACTCTATATTTTACAACTTTCCTTTGAAAAAGCTGAAAACGCAAGCGCTTATGATCCTGATATTGTGAGAGTCAATAATGCACAATTTAATTTTCATTCCGGTAATTTTGATGTAAAAGATGCTTCACGGAGTGGAAGGCCAATTGTCGAAAATGTCGATAAAATCATGGAAATTGCCGAGTCCGACTCTCACGTAACCACTGTTTCGATTGCTCTAGAGCTAAAGATTGCACAAAAAACTGTTTGGAATCATTTTAATAATGCTTGAAATGAAAAAATAAAGTCTTTACTTTCCTGCAAAAATAATCGAATCCTTTTTGCTACACTAAATAAATATGAACACATAAAGGAAAAGGTGAATTTCGATTTTTAGTCAGCTGTGCGCATTCGATTATCGATATTTTGTCTTTGTTATAAGCGGACACACATGTCTATCACGGGCTTGCATTAGGAGCTAATTTCGACTTGAAGGTTGCACTTAACATCAGAAAATGTTAGTCACGTTTTTGTGTGCTTTTCGATTTTTTACTTTTGAAAGAAATGTTGACTGTGTTGCAAAAGCCCTTTCGAGGAGATGTTGATGACAATGAGCATCCTAGTGGTGCCACCACGTCAACATGCGAAGAAATTATCGAAATGGTGAAAAGAATGTTCTCGAAAATCGGCGAATTATTATTAGGGCAGTGTCAGAGGATGTTGGTATATCAATCGGCTGGTACCATTAAATTTAATTTTTTAGAATATTTTGGGCATGAAACGTGTGGCAGCGAAGTTTGTTCCGAAGTTGATAAATTTTGAGCAAGATCAATGCCGTTTTAGTATCGCTCAGAAGTTGGGGAATGACGTCAACAATGATCCATGTTTGCTCTAACGGGGCATAACTAGTGATGATACTTAGGTATATAGTTATGGTTTCCAAATATAGGTTTAATTATCCTAGTTGAGGCTACCAGATTAGCAAATACCGAATAAGGCACGCCAAGTTCGATCGAATGTGAAGGTTTTTCGTACAGTTAATAAGAAGTATTATAAGGGAGTTATGCATCGTTGGCATGAAGCAATACGTTTGAACGATTGGAATTATGGAGAAGAAAATCGTAACTTCTGCATCACGATCGTGATTTTTTTGACAAAACCAAAACGGTAATTGCGCCTCAATCAACGTATCCCCCAGATTGGGAACCTGCGACTTTTTCCTTTTCTCGAAATTGAAGAAACGAATGAAAAGAAAGCGTTTTGCCACAATTAATGAGATCAAGTCGGAATCAAAGAAAGAGCTGGTGGCCATACCGAAAAGCGTATTTCGGAAGTGCTTCGATGATCGGAAAAAAGGGTTGGCACAAGTGTATTATATCCGACGGACTTTACTTTGAAGGGTACCAAAAAATATTGATGAATAAATGAGTACTTCCCTATTGAAACAACCTCGTACTGCGTACAGTAAGCTCTTGAAAATCAGCTACCATAGAACACCGAAAAGGTATGTACGGCACTATCCGCTCAAAAATCTATTGAAGATGAAGTGGAGCACCACCCCAGCTCTTGAAAGCTCTACCCGTAAGAATCGTGCCTTTTTCAGCGCCTGAAATGTAATGGCGGCTGAAAATAGCCGAGGTATTAGTATTCAGTACTAACATTTGGGAAGCCAGTTCTCTAGTCCTGGTCGAACCAAACAACCAAATTCATAGAAAATAAATTTTTCTAATTGCAGACACTCCTTTAGTGTATTTCTAATACGAAATAAAGGCTTCATATATAAAATCAACAGCCGATCGGTTGCGCCCTCGAATAAACTGTGGGTTGTTCCATTTTTGGAAAACATCAAGAGGCATACCACAAAGAGCTCGGCCGGAACAGCTAATTATATATATTACATATAAATTTAATATTTAATTACATATGTAGTTCAAGGCTTTTGAAAACTTTTATAAATTCTCTTAAAATTCAATTTATAATAATAGTATATATGTATATATTTATATAAAGTATATAACTATTGGAATATTATTATATGGTTGCTTATTTTATGAGATATTAAATTCTGGCTGTCATTTGAATTAGGAATATATTTATTTGTGTTTGATATACCTCCAATTTCACTCTATATCTCGTAGAGCTAATGCCGACTTATCATCTGTTGTCATCGCCCATGTCTGCGCGCCATACAACACGAGTGGAATGATCAGCGACTTGTAGAGTTTGGTCTTCGTTCGTTATTCTACGTTGGATTTTATTCATTTAGCATCTATGAAGTTGGCAATTTATCAAAAAAAAAATAATAAGACATTATTATTGTTCTCAGTATATTTATAGATAAACATCTATACATCTAAACACTATCGCGCTTTCAAACATGAGACAAAAAATCCGGGTTGCCCCAAACCGGACTCTTTTGGATAAATTAAAAAAAAAGTATTTTTTATTTTATAATGAACTTTAATCCATTACGTAATTTCCATGTTGTTGTATGATTTTTCGCCACCTTGCTGACAAATTTAGTATTCCACGCTCATAGAACTTCTGGCCTTTATCTGCAAAAAACTGAACCAATTGCGAGTTAATGAGTTCTACAAAGATCGAGCCAAATTGTAGTCTAACGTGCAAGATCAGGACTATATGGTGAAAGCATCAACAGTTCTCAGCCAAGCTCTCTGAGTTTTTGGCCAGTGACCAAAGATGCGTGCGGTCTAGCGTTGTCCTGG